GTCCGTCAGCAGTTCCACACAGATTCCAGTGAGAACATCCCTCACAGAAGACAATTTTTTCCGAGTTTTTTGTTGTGCTCTTTGTAGACTTCTTTCAAGGTTCAAACAGGGCTGTTTCCATGTTGAGACAACCTGAAGAGTATCTGGCAACAGGTTCCCTAATTTGGGGTAAGTCAATAAATATTCCATAAACATGAGTGGATAGGATACACATAACGGAGCCTGGAGCTCTGCATCGGTAGACAGGTTTGATTGTCTCCTATCAGACGGCTCACAATTATTATATTTAGGGCCTATTAAATAAATGTTCCTGGCATAGAAAAGTCCCACTTTTTAGCTGGATTGGGAGGGATGTAACTTTTCCCCTTAAAACTTTAAGGTGATTTCTGACTCCCTGAGTAATTGCATTGCTGTTGGTTATGTTGTGCTTTGGAAGAATCTGGCAGTTGCTTTGGAGAATTCCAGCTTTCTAAGGTGGAAATTAATAGCTGCCTTGCTCTGCTCAAGAATGTGCTTTATTCAGATCTGTCAGTGCTTCTGGGTCTATTCTTTAAGTGTTAAGACTTTTTTCCTTTGGCTTTTGGTGCTACTCTCTATATAAGAATGCTGTGAGGATTTTAACAGACCTATTTCTGATTGCATTCCTGCCTTTTGGTAACTGTAATCTGCTGAAGGAATTGCTGAGTACTGTTAGCAGATGTGTTCTTTTAATAGGATTCATGTGAATTTTTTTTTTCTCCCCTGCCCCTTGCCCAAGGTGGAAGAAAAAGAAGGCTAAATTTGGTGTGGGGTTCAGGAGCTTATCCTCACGCTCCCCTGTCCCTGTAGCAGACTAACATTTTGGTCACAGTGTAGTCTTTGTTATTACTCGAATACATAGCCTTGTGCTGTAGATTGTTGTGGTTGGTATTGTGTAACTGAATGGCAGAATGGAGCTAAATTCTGTCAGGTACTGGACAGAAAGACTTTTTCTAGTGTAGTGCTTTTCAAAAAAAACATTCAGGACAAAAAGGCCAGGGTGAACTTTTGTTTGTGTGGACATGTGAAAACGGAGGCAGTTTAGTCTGGAACTTACGACCCAGTTGGAACGCTGGGGGGGGAAGTTGGCAAGGCATGGCTTGAAGGCCTTGCTTTTTTGGCAGTGTCTTGGGTTTGTGTGGCATGGTTTTGGTAGCAGAGGAGTTACAGGGGTGGCTTCTGTGAGAAGCTGCTGGAAGCTTCCCCCATCTCTGATGGAGCCAATGCCGGCCAGCTCCAAGATGGACCCACTGCCGGCCAAGGCTGTGCCCATCAGTGACAGTGGTAGCACTTCTGGGATAACAGATTTCAGAAGATGAAGCAAACTGCACAACAGCAGACAAAATAGTGAGAATATGTGAAGGAAAGAACTCTGCAGACAACAGGGTCAGTGGGAGGAGTAGGAGGAGGTGCTCCAGATGCTGGAACAGATTCCCCTGCAGCCTGTGGTGAATGAAGACCATGGTGAGGCAGCTGTGTCCCTGGAGCCCATGGAAGTTCATGGTGGGGCAGAGATCCACCTGCAGCCCTTGGAGGACCCCATGCTGGAGCAGGTGGATGCTCAGAGGAGGCTGTGACTCCATGGAAAGCCTTTGCTGGGTCAGGGTTCTGGAAGGAGCTGTGGCCCTGTGGAGAGAGGAGCCTGCGCTGTAGCAGGTTTGCTGGCAGGACTTGTGATCCTGCAGGGATCCCACACTGGAGCAGCCTGTTCCTGAAGGATTGCACCCCGTGGAAGGGTTCCACGCTGGGGCAGTTTGTGAAGAACTGCAGCCTGTGGCAAAGGCACACGCTGGAGCAGTTCATGGAGGATTATTACCTGTGGGAGGGACCCCATGCTGGAACAGGGGAAGAATGTGAGGAGTCTTCCCCCTGAGGAGGAAGGAGTAGCAGAGTCCAACTATGATGTACTGACTGTAATCCCCACTCCCCTTACCCTATGCTGCTGGTGGGGGAGGAGGTAGAGAATTTGAAGTGAAGTTGAGCCTGGGAAGAAGGGATGGTGGTGGTGGAGGGAAGATGATTAAGATTTACTGTTATTTCTCATTATCCTACTCTGATTTGATTGGCAATAAATGAATTTTTCTCCCCCAGCTGAATTAATAATTGCTTGTGATGGTAACTGGCGAGAACTAACCACATTTATTTTTTTGGGGTTTTTTTTCACCCCGAATAGGATTCTTACAGGTACTCCTTACACCTTATTTTGAGCGTGAGGGTACCACAGAGATGCACAGGATTTACAGTTTAGTGCAAAACTGGTTAGCCTTACCACTTGGTAGCCAAAAAAAGGAGAAAAATAATTCGAACTGTTTATCTTTGATGGGAGTGGCTTAGAAGTGCATGAGTAGCGCACAGTCTAAGCAAAAATGCTTTTCCTTTCCCAGTGTGTGCCAACTGAAATCTCAGTGGACGTGTTGTTAAGGCTGTGGCCATATCTGCCTTTTTACAGCCAAGAACAGCCAAAGATTCAAGTGTTTGTTCTCTAGATTTTTGTTCTGCTATTTAGTTGCCATTAGCAAACTTCCCTTAAAATGAAATCTTGCTTTGACTAAACTTGCTAAGCCATACATGGAATAGTAATGATAGTTCATCTCGAAGCAAAATGTGGCTGCACACATTAGCAAGTGTCTGGCTCTGTATCTGTGCCAATATCTTCAGTCTGTCAGTGGGTGGGCAAATGGGTGTCATCTCTGTTATCACACTTGGTAAGGAAAGGGAGCTCAGTGAATGGCATTGTCTCCAAAGTATATGATACTCAACGAGTTTCCTGGATTGCTTTTACTATTAGGCAAGGGCCAGGACTGTTCTCTTTTTGCATTTCAGAGGAATGAAAGAATAAAGTGCCAAACACTATTCCTTGCTTTGGGCAGTTCTTTGGCAATGTGAACAGACCGAAGCCTTAAATGCACTGTTGGTTTAATGGGTTAGTGTTCTGGGAGTCTGGATGCCAAGTAGTCCTTTTGAGTGACTTGGTGGCTTTCATTTGTGTCTTGGTTTCTTTTAGGTCTTTTAGGTGCCTGATTTTTCTGTTATCAGTCAGATGCAAACTCAGTTGCTTTGCTTCAGAAATGAACTTTTCAAGGAGTTGTTCACTTTAAAGCTTTTAAAACTGTGAGCCCATAGATTATGTGACAATACAGGCAGTGGGTTATGTTTTTTAAAAAATACAGCTATATGGATACACAAATAACATCGTTTCATTCAGATTTAAAGGCTCTTTGATACATTTTTTTTCTTTGTATTTCGATTTTGATCTCCTGGTATATTTGAGAAACGTTTCTCTTTAAATGAGGGAAAAGGCCTGTAGAGGAAGTGGCTGTACCAAAAAAGGAATGTTAGTTGCTAAGTCCAGATGAAAAACTGAAATAGCTGGGCTTACAACTGGCAGTGAAATTACATTGGTAAACAGGATTATCCATATACCTACTAGTAAAATAAAGTAGACAACATCCTACTCGGCTGAAATCTCTTTCCCTCTGTGGAAACTGGCTTTGTTTTTATCTGTGTGCTGATGTCAAGTGTGAAATAAACAGCCCTTTTAAAAATAACAACTCAAGCTTTTAAATTTGAAAAGCCACGGAGTAATTGGGCACATCCTTGAAGTGTGTTGTGCAGTTACTGTTGAAATACCAGAGGATGGGTGTGCTTCTAATGTGTAGAGTAGGTGTTGCTGACAGCTTTGAGATGTTAGAAGGTAGGGATGCAAACAGGAAAATGAGTGGAGCACGGTGGGCTGTTAACTCTGTGTTTCTGCCCCGGTCAGCTGCAGGGAGCTCTCTTTTGCCAGTGCTCTGATCTGTCGTGTATAGATTGAGGGTAAAAGCCAATTTGCTGACCTTCAGCTACGCTCACTGTTGACAAGTTGGCTTTTCTGCTGTAAAATTGCCTGGTAGCTTTAACTAAGGTTCGAGGACTTTCCCTTGAGAAGGAGGTAGCAGTGCCAGTTGGCAGCAGCATCCTGCCACACTTTCAAGGTCAGCCCTGGCTGGAAGGAGATAAAAACTTCACTGCTTCCTATTATTACTGGCTAAATGTGCTGATGTTTCGTTTCAATCCTATCTGCCCACTTGTAGCGTTCAAGTGGCAGTTTTTCCAACACTTTCATGTCGCAGCAGTGCTGAACAGTAATGATATGTGGTATCTGTTCCTTGGTTTTTAAGTGACTTCTACAAGAATTCTTTAAAAGAAAAAGTGACTACTAAGACAGGGGCTTTTTGAACTCCTGATTTGACAACTATTAAGTAACACCAAGATTTACTAGATGGGAAAAACCGGCTACCTTTATTGTGCTTGTCTTGTGCTAGTGTTCTCATGTAACTTAAGGTCATCTTTAGCTTTATGACCATCTTACTGTTACTATAATAAGCTTTGTGCTTGAAGATCAGTTGTTTCTGAAGAAGTATTCTCCAAGTTCTGTTTTGTCCCAGTTCATGTTTATATACTGTTTTTTTAAGGGTGACACATTCAGAGGATAAATTGCTGTTTAAACTTAAAAATACAACTTCTTTTTTTTTTTTTTTTTAATCGAAGCGATGCTACCTGACAGTCCAGTGAGTGGAAAAGTATAGATGAAAAATCTGTAAAAATGAGAGACAAATGGTTTCTCTTTCAAATGCTTCATCACAAATGTGATAGCACTGCCAATGTGGAAAGAGACTTTTGGTGTGGACAAACTGCAGGACTGGTTTTACTTGTAGCTGAACCAGAACAGGAACTGGTTTTACATTATCTATTATCGAAGGTCTTACAAAACAGTTTCTCTTGAGGGCATGCAGCCTTTTCTGTTCATGTTGTTCCAGTTTTGCTTATCATGGAACTTCCTCCAAAGAACCTATAACACAGTGGGGTTTGGGTTTTTTTTTTTTCAAGCTAGATAACAGGATTTTTTAATCAAGTTGGCTGCATTACTCTAATGGTGTATTGTCACTGTTTTGTCACCTACAGTATAACAGATCCTGAAAACTCTCTCTGTTTTACAATAGGCTGGTGTTTGGGATGCTGTATCCTGCATATTACTCATACAAAGCTGTGAAGACAAAAAATGTGAAGGAATATGTAAGTCTCATTCCTTTTAACTGTTTAATCACATGCCTCTGCTGACATACATCTGTGATATTTTCATTATATAGTGCAATAAATCATTTGAAAGCTTGACTGATCTTAGTGTGTGATGCAACACCTGTGTGAACCTAGTGGCAATCCTGTGATTTTTGTTTGGAGGGCTAAAGTTAAGGTGTCTCAGACTCTTCACAGTTTCACATGCTGAAACATGTCCAACACACTATGCTGTATATGGATATTTTTAGGAGGATTTGAGGATTTTTAACATAAACCTTAAAGTCTTGGCTGCAGTTTGGCCAAATGCCCAAAGTAATGCACTTTTGGGCATGGGGTAGAATTAAAGTTTCCTAATTCTGCATGAAGTATAAGGAACAACAAATTGATTCTCAGTGACCACTAAAAGAGTTACAGCAGTTTGCCATTGTGTGGAGCTCAACAGAGAATTCAGAAACCTACCTGAGAAAAGGGTAGCTCTCCTTAATCTGTTGTTCCTCAAAGAGGAGAAAAAATATAACCAGGGAAGGAAAAAAGACTTGGTTAAGGTCGTGTGGAGAACAGTAGAACAGACAGAAGAGAAAGATGGAGAAAAAACACAATTATAGTTTTGAATTAAGCTATTAAATTAATTATCTGTCAGTGTGAGCAGTGATGAGAACCACAAGAATGTTACCCATTTGCAGTTACAAGGAGCTTTGGTCACTGAGTTCCTTCCCTCTTTTAAGAGGCAGCCTGACTTGATTTCTGCAGCCAACCTGTGTTCTGTCCTGGCTCTTGTCTTTCCCTGGGCTGCCTGACTCAGGGTGGGCAGAGCCAGAAGTTCCCCTGGCTCAGCTGTGACCTGAGGCTGCTGTCTGGGTGTGTGATGTCTCCAGTTTGTACTTGGTTGGAGTAGTAGAATGCAGTAGGTGTTGTTCCTCCCCTTGAATGTCTTAATGTCTGGTCACTCCATCAGGGCTCCAGAGTGGACATCATATTCTGTGTAAAAGCTGATTAGAACTTATTTGTGCAGCTAGAGTTGGTGCCTGCCAGAGCTAAGTTTATGGGAGGAAAAAAATCACCAAAACTAAGAAAAGAATTCCCTTCATCTCATGCTTACTTTACCCTGTCAGGACAATCTGTAATGCAAAGAATTTATAATCTGCTTTTCCTTCCTGCTCCTTCAAAAGGGATCCACAGGCTAAGTAGGGGATACCAGTTTCCTACTCAAATAAAGGAAATTTTTAATTTAAAAGGTTACCATTGCCTCTTGCAATATATTTTCTAGAAAAAGAACAGTAATATTTGTAGAATACTGAGATTTTCTTGCTCATCTCAGTTGTTACACTTGCATACAAAATGTTCATTGGGCTGAGATGAATGAGACCCATCACAGTGACTTTTTCATTAGCAGGGAATGCCACTGGCTCTCAGGGAATTACCTCTCCATTGCTGGTGGGGTCAAGTGTCCAAATAGGTCTTAGGGATGATCCATGGTTCTCCATTTTCCCAACTGGGTCATTTTCTTTCGCAGAGAGTGTGCAGCCTTCCAAATGGCACAGGTCTGCTGCCAGTCACATCATGGCCCAAGAACACTTCCTTTCCAGGGTTACCTGTGGCTCAGGAGCCATCTGTGTTTGTTGCTGGATTATAAGAGCTTTGTAACAGTGCTATTTTTTTTTTTTCACTCAGTCACTGCTTCTACCAGTGAAAACAAACAAACAAAGAACAGACATCTCGACTTGAGTAGATCATGCTACAGCAAACTGTTCAAAGATTATTTGTAGGAGAAAAAAGTGTTGTGCTGATTGTGGTAATTTAAAAGGCTTATGGACTCAATGTTACAAATAAGGATCTGTGCCTTTGAGGAGATTTATTTGTTCTTGTAATTACTCTGATTTAATGAGGTTGACTAAGATACTTGAAGTTTTTTCACTGTATTACACCAAAGCACTTGTAATAGGCGTCTGAAATGTAGTTTAGAAGGCTGAACAGACCAGCCTTCTTAAATCCTGGCTTCAAAATCCTGACTTGAAAGAATGTGCTTCAGCCAGAGCCAACAAAGATGAGCTTAGCACTCAGATGGCAGAAAAAAACCCTTCAACAAAACAAATCTGTAATCACCCTTTTAACATGAAAAGCAAAACTCATTCTAAGCTTCTGTAACTTCGTCTTTGAGAATTAAGTAGATGATAGTCTTCTGGGTGGTGTAAAATCTGACCTTCAGTTTTTCATGTTTGTTTTTCTTTCCCTGGTATGAAAACCACTTCGAGTCACTCAGGTTTGTTTATCGAGGATACCTTGGTACCTGATGCATTAGTTGTACTTGAATATGATTTGTTTTTTATAGAATATTGGCCCAGACCTCAGCAGGGCTCCTGGCAGATCTCAAATGCCCTTCTGCAGAGCATTTCTAGCTGTTCCTAGCAGTCCAAGAGAAATTCCACTTTCACTGTTTTCCTAATTGAACAATTAGATGTTGATTAAAAAAAGAATAGCATGAATAAAATATATTGGAAAAAAAATCAGTCTTGCATGGCATCTTAAAAAATTGCATTGCATTATGCTTAGGTTGATGGGGCAAGGTGAGATTTAATTTTATTTTTATTGAGGTGTTGACTGTGGTTCATGGAAGGGTCACCAGTCTAAATATCACATGGCCTGTCAGCAGTGACTTCAGCTGTTGTGTAGGTTTGTCTTAGTTTATTCAAGCTTGAAATATCTAAATCCTCTGAGAGACTGAAGTGAAGAATGTCATCACATGACTGAGTTTCTTTTCAAATTGAAATGCAGGAAAGCATTTAAGATAAATGGGTCTCAAGTTCTGACAAAGGAAGTGGTTTTAAACCATAATGCACAGCTCTGAAGAAGGCAGCAGTGTATCATTAGGTTTTGAGCACTTATTTAAGTTCACTTCAAAAAAAGTGTTTTAAAAGTGAAAATTAAATCTGAGTCATGTCCTCTGTAAGAAAGTATATATATTCCTCCTTTTGAAAGAGAGTACTATGAATTTAGGACTCAAACTAGTCTCTAGTAATTGTAGTGGGTTAGAGTCGGTTTGGTTTGGGCTTTGTTTGTTTTTTGTTTGGTTTTTATTTTGTTTTGCTTTTGTCTTGTTTGTTTGGGGTTTTTTCTAGCATAGGTAGGACTGGAATGTAAAGAACATGTGCATGTTCAGTTAGTACAACTAACCAGTGGTTGGTTTGCACTGACCCACTTTGGAAATACATTGAATTGGGCAGCTGATATCTTGGAGAAGACAAATGCTCCTATAGTATTTATTCTGAAAGATGTAATCAACTTAGATGACCAAATTTGAACAAATGCCCAAGAAACATGAGAGATTTAGTGAACTGTTATAAAACAGAACTAAACCCTGTATTTTGAGAACGTTGTCTGATACCAAAGCACTGATATGTAGCGTAAACCTTAAAACAAACAAAAAGATGTGAACAGCTGTAAGCCTCTGAAGCATTAACATTCTTACCTGAGCTTCTTTATTAAAAAGAATTTTGTGGTTCTCAGCATATAAATAGAATTAAATTACCATGAAAATGCTTTTTTGCTGCCTTGCCTTGGTGTTAAGCGGGGCACAGATAAATGAATGGCAATGTGTGGCTGAATAACACACATTGTTGTGAGGTGAAAGCAAGGGCTGCCTCACCAATGCTGACTTTGGGGTGTGGTGTATCAACTCATGGGTGAGTGGGGAAGAGAATGAAATGTCCTGTAGAGCTACAGTGGGAATTGAACTTCGTGCTTAGGATAATCTACCAACTCTTTGCAGTGTTTTTTTCCTTACCACTAAAGCTTTGCAGAGACAGAATCAATTCTGTGAAGCCAGCCTAGGTGAGGTGGTGACCCTGGTGAACCAGTGAGCTTGGTGCAGCTGCCACCAGTTCTACTTAGGAACAGAAATCCTCCAGGACCTTCCTGTAACTTCACTTGAAACCTGGTTTATGCAGACTGAGATACTGTTGAATGTCTTGCTTCGGCAGCTCTGAACAGACTTTACAGTGTGTAGTGTGTTCTGCGTAAAGGTGAAATCAGAATTCCTACTGGAGATGGTGTGTTTTTTTCATTTTCAGGTTCGCTGGATGATGTATTGGATTGTGTTTGCTCTGTACACAGTCACTGAAACAATAACAGACCTAACAGTCTCTTGGTAAGAGCCTGCTGTTTATGAACTCTGGAAGGAACTGTATTTGTTTCGGATGTTCTTGGATTTGTAATGATTCATTTTGTGTACAGAAGTTGTGCTTTTTGATAGCCCTTTTTTCAGGCAAAGGTCTCAGTGCATGTGGTCAGCAGCATCTGTTTGAAGTTTGCTGCTCTGTCACAGTGGGGACTGTAATACTTCCACCTTGGCTATAGAAACTGAATAGGGGAATGGAACTCTTAAAAGGATGGGCTGGAATTTCTCTGTGCAGGAATGTGTAATGCAAAGCAAGGATATTAACTGTTTTCATTTCTTAAATTACAATAGTCAATTAAAAAAATTAAATCCATAAATCTAACTCATTTAATTTTTGTCTAATGTAACTTCTTGTATGTGAAGAATCCTGTATTCTAATATGTAATTGTGATTTTGGGAAAGATGTCTTTGTGATGATTGATTACTGTGCATTCTCTTACTGCAGTTGTTGATTTTGTGCAACCTTTAACTTGTCTGTAGGTTTCCACTGTACTATGAACTGAAGATAGCTTTCGTTATCTGGCTCCTTTCCCCATATACCAGAGGGGCAAGTTTAATCTACAGAAAATTTCTCCACCCACTGCTTTCTTCTAAAGAAAGGGTAAGAAATAACTTGTCAGATTTTTAGTGTCTAATATGGACATGCCATATGCTGAAATGCTGTTGCTGGACACGCAGTGAAAGCAGAGCAGCGTTACTGGTTTGCCAGGCAGTGCAGGCAGCACGACTTGGACTGGCAGAGCTGAGTGCACATGACTGTGCCTGAGCAGACAATGTCCTGCTTTCTGGTGACATCAGAGAGCCTGGTGTTCCCTGCTCCACTTGGTGCCCTTTGAGGAGCCTAGCTGAGTGGAAGTGATGCAGTTTGACTCTCTCCTGCAGGAACATGTGCAGTGTCCTCAATGCAGAAGCACAAACAAATTTGTTCTGGCATAACCCAGTAATGACACTTACCAGGTGACTGACATCAAGGGCATTCTGGTGGGCAAACTGACAGGATAAGAGGAGAGACTTTTTACTGAGGTTTAAAGGAAGACTTGTCTGCAACAGTAAATGCCCAAATAGAAAATAGCTGGAGGACGTTTAGCTTTAGCCGGAGTCTGACAGGGCCAGGGCTCTGCTTAGCTCTTCTTCAGCATCCTGGTTGGATGTGTGGAAAGAGCAATTAGCAGAGGTGTGAAGACTGCCCCTGGGAAAAACCTCACAGTCCAGGAACAGCATTCCTGAAGGTCAGTGCTAGGCTTGGCCTTTATTAGGCAAAGCAGGTTGCTGACACGATGGCCACTGATACCAACAGTAAGGCCATCTTGACCTTCTGAAGTTGGAGCTATAAACTGTTTGCAACTTGGGAAACTAAAGGGATGTTTCCCTGTGAGATGTTGGGAAGTACCTTGCAGCCTTGATCTCCAACTCCAGGCACTTAATCACAGCTGGGGATAAATGCCATGGCTATTGTCCTTGGTACTTAACTATGCCAAAGCTCTGGCTTTGGAAGTTCTTTGTGAGCTGGCTCTACCTCTCTAAGGAGCTCTGATTTCATGTTATTTCTTGAAAAACTTTTGTCCAACAAGTTAAACTTATTCTCTGTAAGGAACTTGCTGTGTAGCTGCAACATTTCTGAACTAGACAAAAGTGATCTGTTTTTTCTTCTTGTTTGACCAGGTATAATCCTTTTTAAATGAGAGAGTTGTAGTGAATGAAGCACTGGTATACAAAGACAAGAGTAACTATCCCATAAAGTATTTTCTTAAACACTTCTTTTGTCTTCCTTTACTGATGGAAAAATAATACTGTGGGGTAACATTTCTCTCTTATGAACAGCCTTCTGAAATGTAAATGTGTTTTGCTTTTAGGAGATTGATGAGTACATCGTGCAAGCCAAAGAAAGAGGTTATGAGACCATGGTGAATTTTGGAAGGCAAGGGTTGAATTTGGCAGCAACTGCTGCAGTGACAGCAGCTGTAAAGGTAACTTTCTGCTTGCATTATTTGCTTTTTACCTTAATATAGAGCAGTGTAATTGTACTGAGGATTTGCCATTCCTAAACAAAAAGATAAATTCTGCAGGTGTATTGAAAACCTGGAACACACTTAAAGGCTGGTAGCACTGTACTCGTCATACTTTATTTGTTTAAGGTGGCTTGTAGTTATTTCTTGTATGATGGGGATCAGCTGACTCTAGTTCAAAAGGTACCATGCAGTTTTCTGAGCAGGCTTTTTGGTAAAGATGACCATTGTTTCTTTTCTGTCTCTGTGCTTTCTTGTTGGTAAACAAACTGTTTAAAGGATTTCTGGCTTTTCTGCTGTTTTTCTCCAATCAACTTGAGGTAACTCCACATATGAATTAAGGCATGAAAGACTACTACCATGGATAAAAGTTCTCTTGACACAATTAACTTGTTTGCAACTTGTTGAGTGAATTATTAAATTAATACACTAAGCATAAGCTTGCCTATTGCTGTTTAGCATACACTTGCTTTGTCATGTAATTTCCAATAAATCATGAAGTAACCTGTCCTTGTTCCCAGATTACTACCTTGCTACAAAACTTACCACCTTCAGTTGTATTTCAGAGGGTTCTGGGTGTAGGAAAACAAAATACAAACTTAAACCTAAGACTCCAAGCAGTTTGTGTCCCACTGAAAGGAGTATAACTTCAGACAATGTATATTCTACCTAATAGTAATTTAAACCAAAACACTAAAAAAAAAGGTATGGAGAGAAAGAGGTGTGTGTCCAAGTTAAATGATAGTTTTAAGGCAATCAGGATTAATTTTTTCCTGGGAATAAATGAAATTGCTGTGTTCACAGTAACAGCCCTGACAACCTGAACTCTGTTAGCAGATAACAGAAAGCAGGGTAGAGATCCCTGGCTGTCAAAGTTGAGTAGGTACAGATAGCATTTAAATTAAATGTTTGGGCTTCTTTGTGAACTTCTTGTGCTATAAATCAAAGACATTTCTGAAAACTACATTTTCGAATGCTATCTCAAAAAGGTTTGGAAAAATAGCCCTGCATATCTTGTTTATTTGTTTTCTCTCCTTTTAAAGATACATGTGGGTGGTAGCATAATCACTTTTTGTTTTCAGATATGGTCATAATGAGCTTAAAATACTGAGAATGTGATTAAATTTGATCACTGTAGGGTGTTTTTTGTTATTCAAATTCTTAGTATTGCCTTGAGACATGAAATAATTTAGAATAAAATAGAGTGCACCTCCAAAGGAATTAAAGGATCCAGAGTGAAAATAGGCTTTTTAAACAAACCGTCTAAGTGCTCTACTGGGAAAAAGTTTAAGAACTGTGCTAAATGCTAAAATGCAAATTCTTTACCAAGCAGCAAATCCTAATTTATTACAATGTGCACCTGTAAGGATAATTACGCTCTGTGTGTGTTCCTCATGTTTGGCTATAGTTGGATATTTCCTTGTTAATCCTTATGGTGTTACAGAAATACTGTAAAATAAACACAAATATCTCCTCCCACTATCTTCTGAAATGATGAATAACTTTTTCCAAAGTATCTGTGTTTGGATTTCGTTGCTATTCAGCTGTGACTGGCAAGATGCCTGTTCTGTTTGTTAAAACTTGTTAAACATGCTCATGAATATTTGTACAGAATTAGTTCAGTGCAGATGAGATGATTGGGCAAAACAACCACCACAATACCAAAGACCTAAAATAGACATGATTTTTAAACAGTATGAAAGAGAAGACTCTCTGAAAAACCTTTATTTTGGCACGTTAAGCCTCTTGAGTTTGTCATTCCAGAGGGCTGAGCGTGACTGCTGCAGGAAAGCGAATGGACACAATGCATGTGTTCTTGGTTTTTGTGCCCTGTTTTTCCGAGAGTTGACTGCTGCCTCCAGCAGGTGAAAAGATTATCCCTTCAGCAGGAGCTGGTGGAGCATGCTATAGGATTTCAGGAATGGAGTTGTGTTAGTGGGACTGGTTTTGATGGGAAGGACACACTTTCATCACTATTTTTTTTTTTACTTTTTTTAAAGCATGCATGCTTATTCTGATGTAGCAGGTCCCAATTTAGGAGAGGGGGAGATTTAAACATATGTGTGAGATTAAACCTATGTCAAAAGAAACACTGAAGTATCCAAGCAAACTGCTTATGCTGACTCTGGGAGGGTGGTAAAATTGCTTGGAAAGTTGCTGAAATATTTTCAAGATCAAATGTGGGAAAGAGTGACTTTCTCCAAGGGCTGTCAGAGGAATAGGGGATTACCATTAAAAGGCTGGTTGGCTCTGTTAGGGGGGCTGGAGCAGCCAGCCAGGTCAGTCTGCTGAAATCTGGCACAGATTTAAACCTGCTCCACTGTAGTTAAATCAAAATGTAATTGGCAGGAGCAGTGGCTTATAGCTTACATTCTCATACTGATATTTTTAGCTGGCACTAGTTAGCCACTGTTCATAGAAAATTTAGTGCTTCAAAACCTGCTAAATAGCATACATTAGCAAAATAAATTGTGTTAAATTAGCATGTCAGAAAACAAATCTTTGTAAAATCTGATATCAAGAGACTCAGCGATGAAAGAAATAGTCTATGCTGAGTTTTTATGTACCAAAGGAAGTTTTTATTGGTGAAAGAAATGGAAACAAGATGCCTTTAATGATATAGAAGTTGTTGCAGCACTTTCAACTCAACAGTATATGGATTTGGGGTAGTTATTTCCACAACACTAAGTTCCACTGATACATCTTATATTTGGTGCTGGTTATCTGTATGGTTTCAATTTTTGCCAACCCATAAATCCTGACTTCTTGAGCTACCAGTGAGAACTGGTTTCTTTATCAGTCCAAGGAGCTGTGTGGTGCTAATGAAGCTGTGACCTGCTCTGTCCCTCTTCCTGAGCTCACACAAAGAGTGTTCATCTGTGAGGTGTTGGTAGTGATGATAATATGTTTTGAGGGCTGCGTTTCTGAATGTCTTTTAGCCACCCTGAATCTACTGTCTCTTCCCTGGCCTTGCTGGGAGCTCCCGGTGTTCCCACTCCGGGCACAGCAGAGGCAGGAGGTGTCTCCCAGCCAGCTGTGGCACACAGCCAGCAGCACTGCGAGCAGCAGCGCTGCTTTCGCCCTCCTCCCTGCTGGGATGCCTGGCCTGCTGCAGAGGTCACTTGCGGGACAGCAGCCCCTCTCCAGCCTGAGAGGGAACAGCAGTCATTCCCTGTCAGCTCCCATCGGATCAGGGAGGGAACAGCTGGGAATGTGGGTACTGCAGCCACGGAGCTCCAAGCAGCTCTGTGGACACAGAGTCCATTGAGAACTTGTCTAGGGAAGGCAAGCAGCTTTAGTCTGTGATCCTGGCCACTGAGGGCTGCAAGTCCAATTTAAACAACAAAAAGAGTCCTGAGGCAGACACTGTGTGTGTGTTTGTTTACAGCAACTTCCCTGGGTTAAGCATATAGACTATAAAATGACACACTCAATAACAGAACAGAGAATGGCACCGCATATATGAGGGGCAGTGGATGAGACTGAATGCTAATAGCTTGCTAGAGGCTGAGTAGTCTCGAAAGGAGGCCCTTAAGTAGGATACATTTATTAAAAAAATTGTATTGGAAGTGTATTGCAGCTTTAATTAATGTTTCACATTGGTCACTGGTAATGAATGTGGACTCTGGAAAGCGTTTAATATATTTCACAAAATGCTATTGAATAATAAAGCAAAATGATTCTTTAAGACTTGAATTTTGTTTAAGGCAACAGACTTCAGTCTCCATCTAAAACATTTGCTGACATAGAAATTTGAGCACTGAAGTTGTTCTGTGATTGTAAATGTGTGTGTCTCAATCCTTTGTGCTCTAAGTTAGTTGGCAGCCTCTGGGCTGGATGCAGCCTGATGTATGTATTCCTTACTGGGAGCAACTGCTGACAGACTGGGCCACCACCACAGGCCAGGTGACTGCTCTGCCACCTTCTCCTGAGCAGCACCTTGGAGTGTGGGTGCCTGGGGAGAGGTGATGGCTGCTGCCATGTCCATGGCACGGCACTGGAAGCAGGAGATCCCCCTTCAGCTTTGCCTGCTGTTTTTTGGGCAAACATGTTGCTTTCCAGCAGTCCCTAATAACTATGAACTTTCAATCCAGGTATTGAAGCTCTTAAAGCATTATTATTCTAAATGTGAATGTTGCTCTCACATTTCCTGCAACAGCAGGTATTTAATCTCACATTTCCTGCTGTAGGAAGGAATTTAATATTTTTCAGCTAGACTTTCATCCTGAGCTGATAGTAATCCAGATCCTCACAGAGTGCTTTGTTTCAGCAGAAAGCAATTTGTCTGCTGCTTTTGGGCATGGAGGTGGAAGGGTCTTCTTAAGTCCTAAATGCACTGTGAGCACAGTGATGTGCACACCCACACAAAACACCTTGAAATTTGTCCTTCAGATAGTCTAGGCAGTGTAGCGAAGTAGAAACCAGTCTTCCTTTGGCTAGACTGGATCTTCTGAGGGCTGGGATGGAGACTGGGGGCACTGTAGGGAGCACCTGCATAGGATTAACACAATGTGATGGTGACTGTCCTGCACAGCAGTGCTTGTGCAGCCCCATTCCCACTGTGACTCTGGGGCATATGTGCTGCATCTCTTGTTTGGGTATATATCCTTTCAAACTTCTTAATGTTTGCTGTGTGTAACTTGAGTAAAACTTTCCATCTTGGCAAGTACTTTTGGAATGAAGGGCCCATTGTATGACTCCTTAGGTCCTCCCTGAACTAGGCAGTGCTCCACAGGAGCTCTAGCTCAAGCATGCAGTTTGGTTAAGGGTACAGTGTTATTTTATGGCACACAGTTGACTTTTTTTCCCCTTTGAAAAACAAAATTTTCTGTCCAAAAGCTGCACTGGAAAATAAGGCTGAACGTTTCCAGCTTGGATCTACTGCTCTATCTACAGTGGAATAAGAAATACAGGCTTGTAATGTGAATTCTCCTTAGCATGGTAGTTGTTATAGGCTTAATTTCGTTATCCTATCCAATTTCCAAATGTCTTTTTGTAGTATATCATATGATGAATGAACTTGCTGGGGAACTGTTATGCAAGTGTGTCTTTCCACACTTCTGCTTCTGGCCAAAACCAGCTTCTGTCACTGTTTTATAGCAGACTCTGTTCACACTTGGCGAGGGGAGTTGTGCTGAATTTGTGTGGATTCTGCTGAGAACCAGCTGGGCCTATTTTACGTGTTCATTGGTGCTCAGGGACTGAAACTCATGTCCTGTTGCTTCTCTTCAAGCAGTGGACACAGAATGATCAAGTCCTGTGTTGTAGCAGATACTGTAAGCTGTTCTCCCTCCAGTTCTCTCCAGAAGAAGTGGAGTAGTGAAAGGGTAGGATTTCTCCTGCCTTAGGAGGAATCTTAGGAGACCTGCCTTAAATAAACCATTTTGGGGGATAAAATCGACTTTAGAATTTCTACAGTCTTTTACACAGAGACTGTACAGTGTCCATAGTCCATTTTAACTCAAAGGCAAGCTGTACCCATGTTTTTGAGAACTGTGAGCCATCCTACAAGTATGTAGGAAGAGCTGGAAAAGTTAAGGCTTCTACTTCTCCCACAAGAAACCTTTTCTTTGTTATTGTTCAGTGTCCATGTATGAATAGTGGTGTAAAAATTATAATAGGTTCTTCTTGCTTGAGTAGCACACTGTCCTAGTTTTATATGCTGTACTAATGACTAGTCACTAGAAAATGAATATTAGGTTTCAGCCACTTTCACCGCCACCCTTTGGTAGCTGTGCAAGCTTAAGGGGTTTAACTCCACTGTCTCTTCACTTTACATGGCTGTTTTTAATGTGGAATAATTCAGTGTGCTGGTTTACCATCTGCAAACAGTTGTTGTCATCAGAGTGGGAACAAATGGCTGTGGCCAGTGGTGCAAGAACTGCCTTGTGCTGTTGCAGAGAAAGGTGTGTGGAATTGTATCCAGATTTCTGCTGCTGCTAGCTAACATAAAGCTTTTACTTAAAAGCTTCATTTGCAAGAATGAAACAAAGTCTTGAGCTCTTGCTTGAAGTGGAATTCGTGCACAGGTTTGTCAACCTTCCCCTGAAATGGTGATTTTTTTGCCTCATGCTACAGAGGGGGAGAATTAAGTGTTATTTTAACGTGACTTTGAGTCCTTGTTCTTGTGTGCTTGCTCTTTTAGTTGCTTATGCAATAAATTAATCTTAAATGCTTTAATAATAACATCTGATGTAAGACAAAAGAGCTGCTTGATGACCCTTCTTTCCAACAGGGAACTTTCTGTATGTCCCATATAGTAGAGATGTAAGGGCAGTTGGAGAAGGAGTTCTAATGTTCACATGTGATCAACTATTCTCCTATGTAGCATTCGATTTTGGGTTGGTACTATGTCAGTAAAGCTGGACTAGTAGGAGGACCTGCTAACCTGGAGTCCAGGCAGGACCTCTGGTGTTTGTGATTTGAAGTTTCTGTCAACTACAGCTGCCTCTTTCTCAGTTCTTTGAGTTATGATACAGAACATATTTTTAACACTTTTTTCCTTTCTTATGCATATTCAAATTTTTGGATGGTAAAAATATAAAATAGCAGAAAATGCTCTTCGTCCATGCTTTTTAAAATGGAAATGTTTAAACTCTGTCCTGCTACCCAGAACTGCTAGAGAAATGCCATTTTTGAAGTGAATGGAACATCTCTGTGTGTTTCTTTTCAAACACTTCCTCTCACCCAAGGAACCCTTATTTGCTCAGGTTAAAGGAGTGGAATGAGGCATTTGTGATGGAACTGCCAGTTCATGTGTAACTTTGCCAAATAAGAGCAACCTATAGTTAAGCCTGGGTAAAAGCAACACCTTAAAGCAAGTGTGTATGTGCATGTGTATGTTCTGTGTTTTGTAGTGCAGCAAGGAAGCATGGGCTTAAATATCTTAACCCGAGCTGAGCAGCAAAGTTAAACCTCTGCTGTGTTTTCGGGGATTCTGTTGTTGTATTTCAGAGCCAAGGTGCAATAACTGAGAAGCTGAGGAGTTTCAGTATGCACGACCTGACCACTATACAAGGAGATGAGCCTGTGGGGCAGCCCTATCAGACCTTACCAGAAGCAAAAAAGAAAACCAGAGCCTCTACAAGTGAATCTTCAGGTATGTATCTGTTTTTTTTCTAGCTAAAAGAACAATTGACCTGAGACACAAGTGGAAAAGCAGAAATAAATTTACCCCATCTCTAAATGGAAAAGGCCTCAAAGAATTCCACTGAAACAGAGTAGATGTGATCAAAATACAGCAGTTGAGAAACCCTTCCTGAATTTTTTTTCCCCAGCCACTCTCAGTGTAGTCATTCTGTACTCATTACTCCTGTCTTTGCCAGTTGGCAACAAGAATTCCTTGCCAAAGTAAAACTTAATTGGAAGTAAAAAAATACGTAAGTGGTGTTTCTGTGACAGGCGTACAAGAAGTTAAACATGGAAATATATGGAAGCTCAATAAATAAAAAGGGAAAATTAATGGCAATTCCCTGGGTGTGTAATGACAGATCAAAATGTTAAGTTGCTGATGATGATAGGAGTAATGAAGGCATTGAGTTGTCATATCAACACTCAGAAGACACTGTGTGGGGACCAATATATGGTTTTGTTCAGAGATATTATTGTACTATTATATTACATGTATTGTTGTCTTCATCACTTTGCTCTCGAGCCTGTGATGCTTGAAGGAAGGTTTAGGTGGAAGACTGACAACTGCACCTTTTGAAATGACGGGGCTACAAGTAAAGGAGTTGATATTTCCCACAGAAGAAGTAGGTCTGGTCTTTTTCTTTTCACTTGAGCCTGTTATTTCTTCTCATCCTTCCCTTTCTGAGAGGGGTGGTGCTTGTGGAGTACAAGGAATTCCAGGAATCACATGATAGCTGTGTTGTTTCTGAGGAATAGATGTCCAGCTGAATGGCTCTAAGCTGAACTGCACATCCCACCTATGCAGGGCAGTGTATGGACCAGGTCTCCTGGCTGGAGAGAAAGCTCTTGATGAATTCCTGGCTGCATTAGGAATGATGTCCCTGCAGCTCTTGTGTAGGGGCTGTTTCTCAGTCAGGGAACATTAGTTGTCCATCTGAAATAGCTTGGAAATGCTCTACAAACTTAAAGAAAAAAAAAATGCTTAAGTTATACTGTATAAATAGTCACTTATTGTGAGATTCAATTTCAAATATCAGAAAGCTTTCTATGAGCTGGTTGAACTTAATTGCTTCTGCTCCTGGACCCAAATCTAGGACACACCTCTCATGTTATCTTTGAATTTTCTTCAGCATTAGAATTTTAAAAGAAGACCATACCACAGATGCATTTAGGGAAACTGCATAGCAATATTTTGTTGTGCTTAGCAGGATGTTGATTTTTTGCCATTGTGCTGGGAGTTTTGTGCAAATTGGTTGGAAAGACCTAGTTGTAGGACATTGTTCTTAGGAGGGCTGAGCTGTCAGTGTGCTTGCTGTGAAAAGGGCAGAGGTGATGGGGATTCATCAGAAAAGGTGCTACAAATAGAGACAAAGAAGTATCGGTGTCACTGCAAACATCTCTGGTCAGAAATGGAGTGACAGATACAATTCAAATCTTCCATATTATTGAACAAGATGAGTTGAAACTATTGGAAGCAGAGATGTGTTCCCTCTGGAATGGCAGAAGAGGTAAATCTGCCTGAAGTAGCTGTGGAGTAGGTGAATGTGATCGCAATTTCAGGAAAAAAGGAGAATTGAGGAAAATAATCTAGTTAAACAGAAACAAAATATTGGCTTAAGATGAAATGTATGCTGGTCATTAGTAAAGTTTGGTTTGGAGTCTAAAAGGTGTTCCTGAGTGTTACAGCCCGTAGGTTCTGGAATGGCCTTACAGAAGGAGAGTTTGGTGGGGGGAAGGAACCAGTCTGGATTTGGAGGCTTTGTGCCAGGGCTGTGATGGGGATTCAGGGCTGTTGGACCCCAAGGAGCTTTTCCAGACGTGTTTTTAAGCAGTTTGTGCCCTCTAGTGAGCGTTTTGGGGTAGTAACCTTGGTCCTGTTTTTGCAGGATGTAAACAACGCTTATCAGTACTTTGGCGTGTTACTCAGCTGAAAGGAGGTTTGGTTTTAAATATCCAGAGAGGGATGTGAGCACGAAGAAAGATCCTATTAATCAGAGTTATGGAATGGTTTGGACTGAAAAGGACCTTTAAAGATTTATCTAGTCTAACTTCCTTCTCACGTGGATTGTGTCCAAAAACCTGAAGTACTCTTTAGGATGACCACTGGGGTTTTTGCAGTTCAGTTTAAAGCAGAAGATGGAGGCAGACTTAGGGTTTTGGTTTTGACAGATAAGGAACCACGGCATTACACACCTATGGAATCAAGTGGCCCATTCCTTACGAATGGCAGAATTAGAAGTAAGAAGCTCCTGGCATATTCCCTGTTTTGAAATACCTGGTACACTGACAATATAGTTTAAAAGAGTAAATGCTGTGTGCTAAAGATGAAACTCATGGCTTTCTTAGAAATCTAAAAGTTACATCTACTACTTATTAAACACTTTCAGAAAAAAATTTTTTAAAAGGTTACAAAACACCACTGGAAAAAAATGCTGGAGATGATAAAACAGATGAGGAGATGGAGGGGACACATTCAGAGGATGAAATGTTTGCTCAGAGAGGCCTTCGAAGAACTCAGAGCATGAAATCTGTGAAAACTAAAGGCCGTAAAGAGGCAAGTATGATCCTGGTGAACTGCTGAGTTTGGTTGTCCAGTGTACCTTGTTGTTCTTAACAGTGCAGAAATTTATTTTTATTCTTAATCTTGGAGGAGTTATCAATGATAACTGGGTTGTAGAATGCTAAATGGAGGAGGAAGTATGCGATAATATCTAAGCCTGGAGCTTTTGTGCTTTGGAGTGTTCAGGGGCAATACATGAATGAAATGAACTTGAGAGAGGAACAAGGGAGAAGAGATGAAGTACACTCTGTGCTTGTAATGCTGATTCTGGCACCACCAAGCCCAAATTCCAGGAACTGCTCACCTCGAAAGGGCTACAGAGAGTGATATTGTCACCTGCATGTCACGCACACTTCAGCATCTGCTGCTCAGTGGATTAAAGAAGATTCAGAATTTGTTAGTTCCCATAGACATATGGCCTACTTTGACTCTTTGTGCTCCACAAAGAGAAGTGCTTTATATTTCTATGTGCCACAAAATCTAAAGATACTTCAGGATAAAGCTCTGTGGAGTCTCATAAAAGTTTATGGGTAATTCCAGGAAAACATTTGAGACTTACTCTTCTGGTCCAATTCTGTTGAAACTGCATCTTATTCATTCATAGGTAGCTTCTCTGAATGAAACTGTGGAGTGTCCAAAGCACATTTAAAGACATTTGCTAAATTGGATTAGTGGAGAGGTAAATAATATTTCTGCCTGATGTGACTCAACTCCTTGTTAAGTTGTGATTTCATTTCTCCCCTCAGATACGATATGGATCCCTGAAATACAGAGTAAAGAAGAGACCTGTTGTCTACTTCTGAGTGCATTGCACAATGCCTGCAAGACAAACTGCTGTACTCTGATAACTTGAATTTCAGTGTGTCAAGTGTTACAGACCTGTGTATGGTTCACATATGAGTATGTTTGGATAGATACAGTAGGACTTGGTTTTCTGAGCCCAGGTGATGGGATAAAGTATTACTCTGCTCTTCTGTAATTGCTTATTGTTTAGATTTAAATCTGGACAAGTTATGGTATGAATTTCAGCACTCCTCAAAGTGGGGTTAAATGAGTAACAGGAAGCAGCCTTTTGCCAGAGGTACTGAACAGACAGAAATAATTACAACTCCAGTTGAATCAGTGGAAGTTGTGAGTATTTGGAGCGTGTGAAAATGGAACCCATAGTGTCCCCGAGTTTACAAGGAAAGATAGATATACTTGAAATACTTTTCTGAGCTACAATTCCTGAAAAGGCCTGTGTGTAATTTTTAAATGTACAGTTTCAAGGACAGTGGATGATGGTGGGAAAGGAAAAGGAAAGGTGAGGTTAGATAGGATACATCCTAAACATCATCATCTTGCATCATGTTGCCAAGCTTAATAAATTTATATAATTCTAATAGGTGCAAACTGGGGGTACATTTAGCACTTTATGCAAAACTGTGTAGTTTTGCACACTCTTAATAATTTACAACTGCACATGTAATTTTAGTGACTTGATAGGTTGAATGCCAGCAATTCTTGTATTTTTAAAATTTATTGTTTAAGTACAGCTAGGATGCTATAGATAATTGCTACTAACAATATTATCAGGTGCCTTTCTGTGTATTATAAGGCTGTGTGGGTTTTGTCTGTGTGGGGGTTTTTTGGCTTTTTTTTTTTTTTTTTTTTTTAATTTTGTTTGTGTCTGTCTTCCTCCTTTTACCTAGAGAAATGTAATGTGATTTAAGTCGGTTTTTGGTTAAAATTGTGGTAAGTGAAACTTGTAGCAATTCCAGTGCTAGACCTCAGGGATCTGCTCAACCCATCAGCTGTGTGTTAGAAGTCATGCCAACATGAAGGCATGTGTGATAGATGAGTCAGGCCCTGGTTTGGTTTTGCTCTACATTGCTTTAAGAATGAATATATATATATATTTTAGAACATGTGTGTATATTTCATATCATACGTGGATCCTAAAATGGTCTGTGTAGTACTTTCTTTTATTGCTAAAGTTATTACTAAAATATTTGCATATAAATAGCTTTTTCTAAAAGTCTAGTTGATTTAGTCAGCCATTCTGTAACCTAGAGTCCCATGGCATATCTACACAGAGATTAATTTTGGAATGTCCTTCAAGGCGGGGAGTTGTGAGAATGACTTCTTTAGGTCCTCTTTGGTTCTATTTTCTGCGATTCTGAGAATGAGGCTGATTTTAGTTTTCTGTGTGACTGCATTTCTACTGTGGATTCAGGGAGAAAACCACCCACTTTTTGCAGTATTTTAATACATATCGTGGGGAGAGATGGTGTTGCTTTCCTTGAAGAGAAAATGGCGTGTGACTTGTCCTACCCTTGGATCTCTGACTCCAGTCCTTCTCCCAGGTATTGACAGTCAGCTGCAAGTCCATTGCAGTGCTCTTGAACATGTTCCCAAGGCTTGAGCCACTGCAGTTCTTTTCCTTTCTTACAGCTGCAGGAGTTCCCTGCTGGTGGGCACTTACTGCCCTCCTGGTACACACTGGCACTCAGAGTATCCTCCTGCATCCTTCAGGCCAGGGCTGGGACTGTGTGGATCCAAGTGCAGCTGGTCTGTGTGGCACTGCAGCGCTCCCTGGCTGTGAGGGGGGTCTGTAAACCCAGTGCAAAGCTTGGGCTCAAACACCACGCTGATGGCACAGTGCTTTAACAGATCCAAGCTTTAATGGACCCAAGGAAGTTCAGTGCTGTAGTGAGAAGTCCCAGCTGTCCACATGTGATTAAAAGTCTAAAGCTTGGATTGCTTTACTCAAAGACACGTATCAGAAGGTAGGAAGTGAGAGAGCAGAAATCCTGTCCTCTAGCAAAGACTGCACCTTGTGATCCAGCTTTTACAAGGAGCTGCTGTCTGTGGGGAGGGAGTGATCACAAAGGCAGCCTCCTCCCCAGGGTGTGGGAGTCACTTCTGCCCCAGGAATGTTTGTGCTTCTCATCTGTTTCCCTGAGTGCAAGGGAGAGGCTGTGTGTGTGTGTTATGTCAGACCTTAGAGGAAGCTGAAGCTTTTGCATCTGCATCTCACACCTCTCTGAACATTCTGCTAACCTGGGATGGAGTCTCTGGCTTACTGTCCAGCTGAGCATCCTCCTTGAGCACTTGCTGCTGCATTTTGCTGTAACTCATCATGCTTGTTTTTATCAGCAAGCATGGCAATAAAACGATCACTTTTTTCTACAAATCACAATCCTGCATGAAGGAGCAGGGTAAGCCCTTCTTTCAGAAATACAGTTCCTGTTACAGGTTCACATAGATCCTCTTTTGGGGGTTGTGTTTTTAACACGCTTCCAAAGCTGGAGATCATCTGAGTATTTTGGACTCTACCACACTCGTGTCAGGAAGTTGCTCTTTGTGTCTCTGTGTACCTGAGGCTGTAGCTTGGGGCAGACTTAACTTGCTAACTCAATTGGCTAAATAAACTCTTTCTTGAACCTTGCATGGAACTAGGAAAGCTGGCAGAATTATTCATATTCATACTGTTTCCATATAAATGTACTTTGGTTCTCTCAGATACTGTCTTGAGTGACCAAACTCCCAGTGTTTTCCTAGTTGTTTTGTTCAGTCCAATAACCAGCTGTAAAATTCTTTTCTTGACAACCTGATTTTGCTCTTTGAATTCATCCTGAAAGTGGTTCACTGTGTATTATCTTAATTTTTTTTCTTCTTGCTGTTCATTGTCAGCTGATGTCAGCAGAGCACAATGGCATGATTAGCTTTCATCCCAATTTGCTTGTTGAATTTAGTTTGGTTTTGAAATACTACACAATCGTTTAAACTTTATGTACAGAGAATTTTCGAAGTTTTCTTGCCTTAGCAACTACAGAAGTCATCTGTCTTAGCTCTTGTCAGTAAACTTGTTGGAAAAAATGTTAAAAATTGATGTTTACCTTAACATTCTGTTTGGTCTTGGACTGTAAAATGTAGTTCATGTCAAATTGGATAACCTTCTCAAAGTATTTCCTGAGAATTGACAGCCACCAACAGGACTGCTAATGTAGTTAAACAAAACTTACACAGAGGTTAAAGGTGCTTTAAAAGAGAATATGTGTTTCTGTTTAAATCATATCAAGGTTTCAAGCCTTTCCAAAATATATGTGAACTGACTCAGAGTTCTGAGTCAGTTCTGAGCAAGAGCCTACTGGACATGTTCAAATACCCATGTTTGAGATGAGGATTAAATTGATGGCCTCAGCTGCAAATAAGCTTAGACCAGACTCTGATTACAATGTAATTGCCAATATTGTGAATTTCTTTGGTATATGAAAGTAACTGATTAATATCCAAGATGCATTTTACAAACTATAATGAATTTTAAGTGAACAGAAGATAATTTGATAAAACAGAATGGTGAAGAAAATGCTGGATGCATTTAAAACTCTCTTCATGACAATAATGTGTTTTATTTTTGGTGTTGCTTTTATTAATGGGAAGTTGGTATTTTTAAGTATTTTTCTACAAAGATGTGTATGTGCAAAGGCAATACTTTAACATTTTTCAAGAACTTGTATTTTTTAAATGCTATAGACCAGAGACTGTCTACATTTGGACTGAAGTTAGTAGCTTTAAAAAATGCAATGTAAGCTTTAATTTTTATATTGTAATAATAACTTGCTGACAACTTGTTTACATATTTGTAGGAGGGAAGGCTTTGTTATGCATTGACTTATCTTGATGCTCTCTTTAATAAATGCTGCTTTGAGCAGGATGCAATGGATGTTTTATTACCTGAATTACGATTAACAAACCAGTCAGTATGTGATCTGTGTTCTGTTGTTTATCATAATGGTTCCAGCACCAAAACAACCCATCTGAACTTTGGAGAGGCTTTTAAAACTCTTTGAAGGGTGACTGACCTGCCTTGGGGGTTCTGCCATGGAACCTGAAGCTGATTTACACTGAAATGGAACTTACCCTGGGAAAGGCAACTTGAAAATGGTACAATGTTACCTGTTTGAGATGTTTGGTTCAGAGTAAACTCAAATTGAGATGTTTCCTGTCCCAAAGGATACACCTTCCTGGGGAACTGCTGGACAGCAAACTGATTTGAGTTTGTATTTCCTAGGCAGAGTTCCTGTGGTGACCCAGAGAAGGAAGGTGTCCTTCTCAAACAGCTCAAATAAGCTGTTAACACTCCTCCCAAAACCCAATCCAAAACCTCAGTGACCATGTTCTCTGGACCTTGTTTGCAAGGCTCCTGACTTACTGCCTCAAAGGAAAGAATTGCTTAATAATGTTAATTGAGGAGAAAGATTTGAGAGACAGTGGCAATAAATATAAGCATTATGAAAATTCATCTGACTGTAAGGGACCTTGCAGTGATTCAGTTCCTGATGTCAGAGCAGTTCATGCAGTACAAACCCCCTGGCAAAAAATTGTGGATGTCAGAAAACAATGCTGACCTTTTCTCCTTCATTTGTTCAGCTGATGTTTAGCAGGTAGCAGGAACATTCCTGAATGTGGGCTGAAACCCTGTCCCGCTGTGTAACATGATGTTGGTGAGACCCACTCAGGGAATCATTACCTGATGATTCTAAAACAGTGCTGGTATGTGTGTCTTAGGCTGAAATGTTAAAGGTGAAGCAGATGCAGCAGCAATGGGGACAGGTTTTTTTGGGCTCTTTTTTTTGAGTCTGTGGTGGTTTGGGCTAGGCCTTCCTTGGTGACCAGTTTGTAACCAAGGAAGGGTCCAGATTTACCCAGTATTCCCTACGATTTTTACATAAACCAGATTATAAGAAGAAAGGAGGAGAGGCCTTCGCTCTCTTTCCTTCCGGTGGCTTGGAGGTGCAGGTTCCCTGCTGTTGAGTCTGCCGGGTTGGGGAGCGAGGCCTGGTTGGGCCTTGCCGACCTTGGGAGACAGAGGTTGCCAGCGATCGTTCCGGAGCGACTCTCGGTTGTCCCAGGAGAGTAGTGAGCTATTTTCTTTGCTAACTCTTTTAGTTGTTAGATATTGGGTCACTAATTGGGAGATATATATATTTTATTTTAGTTTTATTCCCTTTCCCTTCCCCCTTCCCTTTCCCTTGTGAAATTGTATATTTTAATTGTATATAAGTGTAAATATATTTATATATCTCACTTTGGTTGTCTCTCTCTTGTTTCGGGTTTTCTTAGTTTTTTTTCCTCCCTCTTCTCCCTGAGGTTTTTTTTTTGGGGGGGGGGACTTCTGGTGGTAAGGTTTGGAGACTTGGCAGGGAGCCAGCTTCAAACCATATCAGAGTCCTTGGGCATTGTGTGTTCTCCACACTAACATGAGAAAACAGATGTTGGAATATGAGGGGAAACCAAATAGGTCTTGTAAAATCAGTAGAGTTCCAAAATTACTGTTGTCCTTTCTGTAGCTGTATTCAGGAATGGAACAGGAGCCTGTCTTATGTCTGCCCGCCTTTGCCAAGGTTCAGTGACAGATTGCTCTGTCTGAATTAGGGCAGGAATCACAAAAGCAGCTGGAGCAGAGACTACAAGGACCTCAAAACGCAGGATTTCACTGCTGTCTGCCAATGTACAGTGACTATGTGGATGAGGAAGCTTAGAAATTATTTAGAAACTTCCTTTTTTCCAGGCTGTCCCAGTTCCAAGGTAAGCAGCACTTTGACCCTCAGCTGTTCCTGGGCAACAAACTCATTCTGTTGCAC